TTTTGGGAGGCAGAGTTTCAGTGAAATTATTATTGAGATGATTATTAATATTCATACAAGGTCGATTTTTTTGAAGTGCAGATGTGTTAATGTTACCTCCAAAACCTATGTTTTCGAGTACATGTCTTCCTGTAATAGTTAATTGTCTCTACTACTTGTTGCTCACTTCATCCTGCCTCCTTTTTCCAGGTATCTTCAGAGGGTGGTGTCTCACCCATCGCTACTACAAGATCCTGACGTCCGTGAGTTCTTGGAGCGAGACGATGTGGGTATTTTAGGATATAAAATGATTTTCTAGTTGAATAAGTTCAATGCTTTTAGGAAGAATTCTTATAGTAGTTGGTCGATCATTTGGGATTTTGAAAATTTTAAGTGTCTGATTCTTGAGTGACATTTTTGATTCTCTGTGTGCTTTTTCAGCTACCCAGAGCGGTGAACACTCAGGCACTGAGTGGAGCTGGTTTCCTCAAAATGATCAATAAGGCATCAGATGCTGTCAACAAGATGACCATCAAGATGAATGAGTCTGACACTGTAAGTCGATGAAATGTTGTACAGTTTTCAGACACTGTTACACATTTGACCTACATATGGAAACATCTATTGTTGAACAAACCCTGATAGATCAGTGGAGGGCTAAGAAAACTTTAACAGTGACATAGAATGTTCAAATATAGGAGGAATGTAGACAAAAATGCACAATTGTGAGGAAAAAGACCTAGAAATTAAACTACTAGAAATTAATTGAACTGTATAGTGTCAGTGTTTTTTCTGCACATCATTTCTTAGTATTCCTATTTTTGTTTTCTGTATTTGTGACGGCTTCAAACAACGATAACTTCATACCAATGACTTTAAAGAGAAATATTGAGTCACTGGAGGCAAATAACCATTATTCTCTTGAAACTATTCAAACATAATTATTCATGAATCGATTTTATGATACGTTTGCATTGTTGCATTGTAACTGCCTTACTGTAAAATCTAGCAAGACAAACCGGTCTGTTCTTCTAGACAGGATAATATTGTGTGGTTGTGGTCTTTTAAATATGGTCTTCTTGTTTTCTGTGTGTCTCAGTGGTTTGAGGACAAGTTCCAGGAGGTGGAGACCGAGGACCAACAGCTGAGGAAGCTTCACGCTGTGGTCGACTCCCTCGTCAATCACCGGAAGGGTGAGCTGCATCTGCTTCTCTGGATTTGTCTTTGTCAGTGCAGTTTTTCCAATCAAATAGTTTCATCTGCGGAAAGAGAAGAGTTCAGTCCAGCTGCCCAGTCATTTAGAGCGAAACAATAAATTTTCTGTTTCCTCCTTGGAACACCAGAGCTGTGTGGGAACACGGCAGTGTTTGCCAAAAGCATGGCCATGCTGGGAAACTCTGAGGACAACACAGCCCTGTCGCGGGCCCTGTCCCAGCTGGCAGAGGTGGAGGACAAGATGGAGCAGCTGCATCAGGAGCAGGCAGCCAGTGACTTCTTCATTTTTGCAGAGCTGCTTGCTGACTACATCCGCCTGCTGGGTGCTGTGAGGGTAAGCTGACAACTCCAGAATGGTAGATATGCAGCAGGAAGAAGTGAACTTGGGAAGGTCAAGAGGACTGGAAAAGTAAAGTTTGTGTAGTTCCTGATTCCAGAATTTTAAAAAAAGACACGTCTCTTGAATATTTTAAAACTGAAGTGGACTTTTACATATAAATGAACATTACTTATATTCAAGCCCTTACCAAAACAAGCTCATACAGTGCTGAATAAGCCATCAGCATTTTGTAAATCTGTCTGTATTTCACAGTATACTTGAGTTTTAAATCTGGTGTCTGTGGCCAGTAACGATTGATTTGTCAGAGCTGAGGGGCAAAGCAACTATAGTGACAGAGACAGCATAGACTACAGCAACAAGGAATAACCTCGGAAGCATCAAGAAAACTTTCTGATGCTCCGGACAAAGACTCTTTGCTATTAGAGGCAAGATTAATCTGAAAAACAAAGTGTGATCGACGAGGAATCATATGTTTTTAGCTCGACAGTGTTTGTGTAATTACTCCCACAGCCAGAAGGAGGAGACAAAAGTTACACACTGCACGTTTAAGTTACCAATAACTCAGGACAACTGAGTAAAGAAAGTAGGTTTTTATGTATTTCACTTACACATGCAGTAAGAGAAAGGAGACAGTATCACCAACGCAGAAGTATCTGTATGTTAGTATTAGGCAAAGTGTTATCCGAGCCACTTTTAATGCGCTACAAATATGTGGCATTTCTTACACTGCAATATGTTCAGTTTTCTCTCTGAACTGCATTTTGTCTTAAACTTAATGCCATGTCACAGTTTTACTGCAAGTGTGCTGCCTGCTCTCTGTTTGGGAAGTGAGTGATCAGGTTAGGTTACTACTGTTATCTAATCTGCAATGGACGTCCTCAGGGATGTTTTGACCAGCGCATGCGGGCGTGGCAACGATGGCAGGAGGCTCAGAGCACACTCCAGAAGAAGAGGGAGGCCGAAGCCAAGCTGCTGTGGGCCAACAAACCCGAGAAGCTGCAGCAGGCCAAGGAGGAGATCACTGAGGTAACAGATGCTGCGCTGTTGTTGCCACAAAAACCTCAAAATTGAACCACTTGTCTTGGAAAACTGCTGTAACTGTGAAAACAACACAAGAAACCCTTTTTCTGATCTATGGCAAATGTAATATTGTGTACAACATGGAGAATCACAGAGTTTGTCCAGATTCTCAGAGGAAAAGCACATGTACGGCAGCTTTTTATAGTGAATGGAAAACTCAGAATAGCTTTTTCATCGGACGGGTATTCATAGTTTAACCTGTAAGCTCTTTCTATACCATGTTCAAAACACTTTGTCTTATTGTCTACAAACCAAAAGTTCCTAGAGATGGAGAAAAGTACTTTCATTGAAGGCCCTGAAGCCACTTGCAACTGAGTTTGTTTTGTAATGCAGCTTTCACATCACGTTGAATTACAGCAGATGTGTAACCAACAGTGAACCAGGCAGAAAAAAAGAACTTCAGTTAAAGTTAGATTTTAGTTGTGTGGCTCTGACGTAGGAAACCTTTTCATGACCACCCAGCTGACTTCTTCAAAAGGGGAGATTTTTTGGTCTTCTGACATTTAGTCATTTAGCCAAAGGCTGAAAATCTTTGTTTTTTGGCTTGTGGGTCAGACAAACAAGCTATTTTAAGACGTCACCTTGGCCTTTTTGAAGGTTGCTTTTTAATGTTTTCTGACATTTCATAAAAACTGCAAAGTAACCTGTTTGATATTTATCCAAAGCCATGACAACTCCAGCACTGTGACACCTTTGTACCTGTTGTTATATTTTGGCAAGTCGGTGTATTATTTTCACTGGAGTTATTTACCAGTTCTTTATAGATACTCTCAGATTTGTTTCAGTAGTCTTCTTTGACTTCTGACAGGTATCGATAGTCCTTCAGAATTAACTGATATGTTTCAAACAATATAATAGAGCTTGTCTTATTGTCACATGTTGGAAAGTGTCAAGTATTAATTCTTGTTTATATTTTTCTCCTGTTTTTCCTCAGTGGGAGGCGAGAGTCACTCAGTACGAGAGAGATTTTGACAGGATTGGTATGACTGTACGCAAAGAGGTTCTCAGGTTTGAGGTATGTTGACAAAAGTTTGTTGTTTTGTCCTCTTCCTACAACTTTTAAACTAAGTATTTTTTTCCACGGACATGTGTGGCTTTTCCATTTGCACCTACAGTATAAAGAACAACTTTATTGTGAGACCAACACGTTTCAGCTTGAGGCCTTTGCCAGGATTATCACAGAGGTCATTTCAGAACATCTTACAGGAGTCTTCTGCCGTAGACTTTCCAGTCTGTGCGACTTTTTTATCGAGGGATGAGCTAAGCCTTTATTAATCTGACAATGGGTAAAGCTGCAGTATTACAACAGCAAATGGGATAGTGCAAATGTGTAGGTAACATCAGTAGAAAATAAAGATAAACAGGGACATACAAAAGTAGTGATTCATCCATGTGTGAATATTCAGATATTGCAAACAAAAAAGTTCTCTGGATGTGAAAATATCGCACACATCAATGTAACTGAAAAGATTCTTCCATAAGTAGAAATACTGATATAAAAAGTGCTGATATTGCACAGATTGTTTCTATATTGTACAGTTCTTCACTAAGTAGAACCATACTGATATAGCACAGAGCCTTGTATATGTAGAAAATTAGATTTTGCACAAAGTTTTAATTGTACAAAATATTCACAGTGCACACCACAGTGAAATCTGTCAGTGTCTCCATGTGTGGCTCACTGGGATGGGATGGAAGCTCTGAGCACAAAGAAATACAGCATTTAGCTACAACATTAAAAACAAACAGATGAGATGATTAACATTGATTATCTCATGACAGGGGCTCCTGTCAGTGGGTGGGACCTATTAGGCAGCAGGGGAGCAGTCAGGTGTTGAAGTTGGTGTGTTTGAAGCAGGAAAAACGGGAAGAGTGAGGATCTGAACGATGTAGACGAGGACCAGACTGATGACTAGATCACTGGGTTAGAGCATCTACTGGTATGCAGCGGTCAGTACCTACTAAAAGTGGTCCAAGAAAGGACAACAGGTTAACTGGCGACAGGGTCATGGGCGCCCAAAGCTCATCAATCAACATCTGGAGCGAAGGCTGCCAGCGTCTTAGTGCCTGATACCACAGGACGCCTCAGAGTTCTTGACAGGTCCAGGCTGTTATGTCAGGACCTGCACAACATCAGGAAGGTGGCTATAGTGCTTTAGGGCTTCTGACTAATCAAAGTATATTCCACTCCATTGATTTCGTGTCAAGGGATCTGCACCTGCTGGTTCCCTTGAAATTTTACACAGACATTCATGTTCCTCAGAGGATTCATCTTGTTGACTCGTTGGACCATGAGGTTGACAATATTGGCTTTTTGCACAGCATAGACCACATGGCCATATTTTCAAACTAACCATCTGTGATGTTCATCCTAATCAAATGTACTTGCAAATGTGTTCTACGGTGACTGTGAGGTTGACTACAAGCTGAACCAGTTTAGTCTCACAATGAAGCTATTCTTTACATGGCAAGTCCTCGTGGTTTTGACCTCTTCAGACTGTTTTCCTTCTCTGTGCGCTTTGGAAGAATTTGCCAGAAATTCCTACTACTGGATTTTTCCATTGCTAAAGAGCTTGAAACACTTTTGTCTTTGCAGAAAGAAAAAGCCAAGGACTTCAAGAGCCAGATAATCAAATATTTGGAGGCAATGCTGCAGTCTCAACAACGGGTGATTATATTTCAATGCATTAAATAATATCAAGTGGTATCTTTAACATATAAAATCTTTCTTTTAAATTATTAGAATAATGACTGAATATAGGTAACACTTAGGGATGCATGATATTGGATTTTTGCTAATATCCGATACGCAGATATTTTCCAACTCATGTGGGCTGATTACCAATACATGCACATATTTATTCCATCTCACTGCAGAGAACGTTATTAAGACATTATTATGTCTACTCTTGTCGTCATGTTCCACTGGCAGGTGGAGGCACAAACACTATGCTTTTTAAATGTAGACATTCACTGGGTATAATTAAAAAACAGCTTCAGTTTGGATGAAAAACATCCATCCATTATCTATACACCGCTTAATCCTCACTAGGGTCATGGAGGGCTGGAGTCTATCCCAGCTGACTCAGGGTGAAGGCAGGGGACACCCTGGACAGGTCACCAGTCTATCACAGGGCTACACTTAGAGACAGACAACCAAGCACACTCACATTCACACCTACGGACAATTTAGAATCACCAATTAACCTCAACATGTTTTTGGACTGTGGGAGGAAGCTGGAGAACCCGGAGAGAACCCACGCTGCACCCAGAAAGATCCCGGGTGTCCTCACCGGGACACAAACCGGCGACCTTCGGTGCTAACCACCGAGCCACCTTCCAGCCCATGAAAAATACAACAAACATGTTTATATTTATGTAATGTTTTCAACCAAATCTGTACATTGTAGCTGCCTGTCAGCATTTACTCTGGGTCGATGCTGATATTTAATTTTAAAGCCGCCACTGATTATGATGTCGATATGATCGTGCATCCCTTGTACCAATTAGCCTTTACAAAAATATCGAAAGCAATCAGTGTCTTACCATCACAACACGTTTTAACTGCATCCGTATTCTTCTCGTCCTGTTTGTTTTCCAGCTTGTAAAGTTTTGGGAGGCATTCCTGCCTGAGGCAAAGGCAATAGCTTAATGAAGAGGGAGAAGTTTTAAAGACCCCAACTGCCTTTTTTGAACACTTTACCTCTTTACCAGGATCTGAGAGGACAATTTTGAAACACACGAGAAACTTCCATCCATTTTCTTTCTTTCTTTTTTTTTCTGTTCTGTTGTCTTTTTAATTAGAGTGTATTCTCTTATCTTGTACAGGTCTTTGATATAATAAGCTGCCACATTTACATGACGTTTCTCTGGAATAATTCCTTGTTTATGTTGTTGAGGTAAAGATGGTATAAAGAAAGAACCCAGCAGAGATTAACCTGGCCGTAGTATTTGTAAAACTCACTGTCTCGTCAGTGAGGTTATATATTTATGTGTCTTGCTTCAACCAGTATATTAAGGTGTTAACACTGAGGTACTGCCCTAAAGTAACATTGTCTATAGTTTACATTAGAAGATAGACGTATGTAAGTCATTCCACTCTAACAGATTTTGTTGATGGATGCATGTCAAATAATGTTTTGATGCACTAAAATGCATTGTACAGTTGGAGAAGCTGTTTTTTTTCCTTTGTTTTTCTAAAATGAAACACCACTATTGATGACTGAGGTCATTTTCCAGGAGTATTAGCACATTGTTGCGGTGAATATTTGATCATAGAAGTCGCTGAGTTGACAGTTACAGGTTTGTCGGAGCTGTTACAAAATGACTGTATGGTTACAGTGAGTGCAGGTTGACAAATCGCTCGTTTGTTGGTGTTTTTTACGATGAAGTACTCAGATTTATTGTGTTCAGAGAGGTGGAGGCCCAGAGGAGCTCATCTGGAACTGCCGCAGAGAATGTTTACGACCCGTGTAAATGACATCTACGTATGTACACATGTACAGTACTTGAATTGAATCATACGACTGTCAGATATTATTCGTAACCGTACTTCTTTCTTTTTTTTTGATAAATTGGTTTACCAATGACAGAAAGGCACAGACATTCAAGTGATATGGTCCCTTATTTTCTTAATCAGCATTTGTAAGTGTAGTTTTTCTGTCATGTCATATTTACGTAAGAATGTGCTTTATTTTTGTAACCACTTTGCATTAGCACACACATTTTCCTGGAAACGCTATACAGGTAGATGTACAAAATAAATGATGATTGGTTAAAATTTGGGCACTTTTCTTCTTCTTTTTTTAAATTTTGTTTCATTACAACTCAGTAGAATGGATGAATTATGAAAAAAACAGGCCCGTGGGTATAAAAACTGTGATAGGCTCTTCTTTGATTATAATTTTGTGTTATTTAGTTGAATCACAGGTAAACTTTAGTGTTTTGTTCCTGCTGTAGATAAACTGTCTAAACCTTTCCTACAGTATGATGCCCAATCTCCTTGAAACAATATTGGTGTAAAACATAAATAAGTCCCAAATCCTCTAAATTTTGAGGCACTGGGCAAAAAATACAAAAGTGCATGCAGTACACTGAATCATAAACTTTGAATGAAAATTGTTGAGGCAGCGTTGATTAAAGTCTTCAAAATTGTATGAAAAAAATATCTACAATTCCATACCTACATATGTGAATGAGATTCATGTGATATTAATATAAATTGTGTTAGAAAATGGGCACTGAAATGAAATTATTCTGCTGTTTCCAAGATCAAGAATGAATTTTGAAGGCTCATATTTAATTTGCTGTACTTATTTTAACACGTAGAACATTTAGGAACAAAAACAGGTGAACAGGACATTCATGTTTTGATTAAAACTTGAACTCGTCAATAGGAAGTGTAGAATGCTGCTGCACAAATAATCCAAAAAGATTTCCAGTTTACGCCACAAAAAAGGCAAATGTTTGGACTTTCCTTGCTTGTATAGTGACTGAAGTTACTTGTTGATTATGAAAATAGCTGCAGATTGTTTGTCTGTAAATTATCAAATCAGTAAATGCACAATTTGTTTCTGTAGGTTGATGTAGCAACCAGGCCTCTAAAGTTTAACTGTATAACTTAACAGGCAATAACTTAGAACAAACTGGGCTTGCTGTATGTGTGAAAAAATATTTCATTTATTAGTTTTTTTTATCCCTTGTCTTACTTCAGTATGATCCAGTGTTTAGACAGATTTTGAATCCTACAGAAATAATTGGAAACTATCTGTTTTATATGTTATCTGATCTATGCATTAACCAAGTATGCTTTTGTTTACTAAAACACCATTGACAGGCAAACACATGTACTGTGTTATCCTACATTGTGCAGTTAATTATGTTTAACTTCAGATTTCCTAGAAATTGCAACAAAACTCCAAAAACAGAAATCCAAATAACAGCAATATACAATTATTGATAGAGATCAAATCAAAATCATTTGTATTTATTCATGTTTAACACACAAACAGAAGTAAAACTTTATTTTTTTGCAAATGACTCCTGAAACGTGTCATCAGTTTAAAAACAGTGTTCAATAGCAATTGTTGTATATGTGTAACTAATAAATAATAACAATATTGGATGTTGTTTCTGAGCTGACTCATAGTCAGAGAAGTGGGCCTAGAGGGTAAATTTTAGGTGATACTTCCCTCTCAATATTTACAACACGTGCATTTGTCTTCTCCAATAAAAACATAAAACATGGTCCTGACTCCTATTTTGAAAAATCACTATAACTTACAGACACAACAAAGCCTTTGGAGGACCGGGCCTTTAATCTGCAGAATATCAAACACACAAATGTGTAATATATTCTGAACATGCAGAAAGTTTTTGATGCGAGTTTGTAAAGTCCAGGAGTGCATAGATGAATTCAAATCAGTTCATTTATCATTGAAAAGGTCTCGCATACACATTTACAGAGATTACTTCCCCAAACAAAACCCCTAAAAGATGACAGAAGAGTAATGCATGCCTGTATGTGGGTCGACTCAGCAAGGGTAAATGAGAAAAATTGATCTGCAGGAGAATAAACATTTGAAATCACTGCAGAATGCAGAGCAGCCTTACTGCATCATACTCCTTTATATATTAAAATAACCACTGAGTTTAGGGTGACTATATGTAAAGACTGCGACATCACTCAGATGTTTCCTGAACATCAGTATCAAAGCTCAGTGTAGTGATTAACTCATGACTAATTGAAATATGAGTAAAGAGGTGGGCCGTGGACTGTCATAGGTCGGTGTTCTATTTTTTTATGTCTGCAAGAACTCAACAGTTGGTGTGATGTAAATATTGAAATCTACTCAAGTCTGCAAGAGTCTGCAGTGTCCAGTAGCAATTACTCTACAAAAGCAACAAGCTCAGCAGTGGAGTACCTGTGTGGAATATGTACGAGGTGTGTCGGAAAAGTTTCAGGACTGGTGTCACAAAAGATATATTTCAAATGCAAACTACAAACTACTTTTGTGACACCAGTCCTGGGGCCTCATTTATCATCAGTGCATAGAAACGGTTCTAAATTTTGTTGTACGCATGAAATTTAGAGTGTGCGGAAGTAAAACAAAATCTGTATTTATCAAACGTGCATACGGAGGTAATACGTACATCAGTGTTGATAAATCCCACTTGTTCTTAACCACTGTGCTCATGCGCGTTGCCTTCAGACATGCCTCCAAATCAGCATATACGGCAACAACACGCCTCTTTTATAAAGCAAGTGAAGATTTATTTTTTCCTCACCTGTCGTCATCATCGTGGCAAAAAGGGCGAAAAAGAGGAACTTTACTGAAACATAATTACATTTGTTTAGTGATGGTATTTTGGATGCGATGTGGGTGCAGTCTATGGCTCCAGTTATGTTTGGGAATCTAGCAATGGCATTAAGTCCCCATTTGAGTTCGGCTTGTTGGTGATGGCTGTAAGGGAACTGGATGTAGGCTGGGGCCACGGGAATTATGGCATCCAACACTGTCGGCTTGATCCTGCTCAGTGATGGTTGGA